AAACATGGATTTAAGGTTTCGCGGATTAACGTTGGGAACGGTGACAAGGTCAGTCAATATGCAGTGAGGTTGCGTGCAGCTTAAAGAAGCGCAGATGGTAGGGCCTCAGAGAATCAAAACTTTCATCTGGCTGGTTTTAACTAATACTACATCCTCTATTTAATTAAGAAACTATTTAATTTTTATTTTAGTTTTAAATATAAAATTTTGATTTATTTTTTTATATTTTTTTATTTTTTTAAGATTGTTTTTATAATAATGGTAATTCTAACTAATATATTTTATTAGTAACGATATTTTAGAAAAGATAACACGTGTTTATTATAAATAACTAATTTAATAATTTTTTTTAAAATTTATTCAAATTAGTAGCAGGAGAATCTTAACTAATATGTCAATGCGGGGAGAAATGGAAGACACATGGCCCAGTCCGACTCTTGAGACTCATGCAACAATGGAACTGAGGATCTTGACCACTTAGTCAGAAAGTGACACCTCAAATCCAAAAGAATCGGGACCAAAACAAGTACGATGATGAGGATGATGATATGAGAAGTGACTCACACAACATGCTGATGTGGCTAATGACATGGCATTGACAAGGCTATTGTCTAGTTTTTGTGTTGTTACCTTGCATGCCATCTTTGCAAGTGTCTTGGACACGATACATGTTACGGATACGTTGACATGGATGATGACTAAGACAGAAAATATGACGTGGCTCACGGCCTAGATGACGTGGCTAATGATGCCATGATGACTAGGATATATGCATTTGGTGCGAGGGAACAAGGAAGCCTGCATTAATGGACGAATGAGAAGGGGTCAAAACGTGATTTCCTATTTTTAGGCGAACTAACCTCTACTAATTTATTGGACTCAATTTCTTTTGCAAAAATGAAAATATAGAAAATATTAAACGGCGCCGTCTTGAAGCTATCTGATTCGTTATTCTCACTTCTTTTTGGTGGGAACATAGGTCCCTCTCGTCCCATTCGTAACAGAAATACCAGAAACATGCAAAACTCACAGATAGAAAGAGAGGCGGCGTGCAGCCCCCGAAGCGCCGAAGGAAGACGAAAGAGAATCGCCGAGAGAGGTTCTGATCGTTTGGCCTTGATTACAGGTCAGATCCAAAGTCTTCCTCCATTGCCGCCGCCGCCACCGCCCACTCCGTCGCCGCGCACATCCTCGCCTCGTTTCCATGTCCCCCCTCGTCACCTTCGCCCTGAATCATTACCTGTTGAATTATCTCAAGAATTCCATCCTGATCTCAGAAATACTCAGTCCTTTTCTATCCCAGGTTCCTTCCTCCATCCAAATATATGAAGATTTTCATATTTGTATATTGTTAAAATTTATCCTATATCACCATGTTCGATACGAATGTTGAAATGTGGTCAATCTATGAATATGTTTATCAAGGATTAGTGCCTTCTATGACGTAAATTATTAAATGCACCTCTTATTTCCCTTCTGCAAGAACTCACTGCATTTTATGCACAAGATAGATATTGATATAGATTTTAAGTTTGTCATAGTGAACAGCATATAACTAAATTTCTGTGGACAGTTTGAGAGAGAGAACGGTGCTTACATTATTGTATACATTAGCCTGATTTACAGTTTAGCCAATGAAGAAAATACTCGCGGTTATATAGCGATACAAATTGATTACCTTCCGAAGAATATTTTCCGTGACTTGATGTTAATTGTAGCTATCTTGTCATGACTTTAGAAGATTTTATGTAAAACCACGAAAACTGTTCTTTGATTTTTACTGTGCAATGACCTCCATCATGGAAATAAGGGAGGAATTGAGGGAGGTAAATATTGCATAATTGGATCTAATTTGTGAATTCATTGGGATTTGCAGCCAATGAAGAAATCAAAGAAGGCTCTAGATTTTCTTCAAGGCTAAGGCACCAGTCTGGATTTAAGATTCCAAAGCAAAAGAACTTCGATATCACAAGTGAAGGGGAATCGCCATTCCAGGATTCTGATAATACTCATGCAGAAGCCACCAAAGATCAAGTTCCTGTTAATGATGACGCCCACATAAAATCAACTTTAGACACACTTTCATATCTAAGTCAGTGCAATTATTTTCTTCTTAAGCTTAAATATACTTCAGTTTGATTTCTCTGAACATTAAATGTTGCCCTTCTATTATTCCACTTGTTTCTTTTTCTTTTTTTTTGACCAGAATTATTCCACTTGTTTCAATCACACAAATCCGTCTATTACTCTAAAGAGAACTGACCTCATCAGAAATCGATTCAATTTAAAACTGAGGAACCAAATAGAACTTTTTTTTTTTTTTTGGAAACTAAGGTGACCAAAGCTATACTTAAACTTACTTTGGACATAAATTCCTTTGGCTTTTCAGATTCTGCTGCTGCTTCTGATGATGAGGATTATTCTAGTGCTTCTAGTTACTCTAGTAGGCAAAATCCCCAGGGTGGAATTAAGTTTTCAAAAAGAAGCAATTTCCATGTTAGAACTAAAGTGAAGCCTCTTACACAAGATTCTGATATTAATCGTGAAGAAACGCAAGAACAAGAGGTCGTGAAACCTTCTATAGCCACTCCAAGAGCTCAAAATAAACCATTAGATGGCAAAAAGAAGCAGCCAAAACCTGCCAGCTTCAATCTCACCCTCTTCTCCTCAAGAGAAATAAATTCTAGCATCATTGCTTCTGAGACATTCCGCGCTTTCTGTGCTCTGATCGTAGCAGTGCTAGTAGTCTTATGCTATATGATTTCTGAGAAAATTGCAGCTATAAGGCCTCTTTTCATCGTCTTATTAAACGATGTAACAATTGTGCTTGCTCGAGTGTACATGGAGAAGATAAGAGCATCGGAGGAGGAAGGAGGAGGAGAAAAAGTTGAAGCTAATAATGAACAAGGGCATGATTGGAATGGAGTTAAACTCTTGGAGAGAGGTTTGGTGGCTTACCAAGCTCTTAGAGGTATTTTTATTGATTGCAGCGTTTATTCAGTGATTGTCATATCTTGTGTATCTTTGATGAAGTAGTTCTGGATGCTTCAGATAGGTCCCTGCAATGTCCCTACTCCATTTCTTGGACAAGTCAGTGCTCATAAACAAGTTTGTTGTACATTCTTACTTGTTCTTGGGATTTTTGGGGACAGAAAATTTTGACTCTGTTTTGTAATGTTCTACATATTGCAGAGATCTGCCAAATGCATTTGTTCATCTCTCAAGAGACTCTGAACCTAAGTTTCTGTAATCTAATGCCCAAATGATCACATATGGATTCAGGTTGTAAGATCTGATTTGGAACCTATGAATGATAAATGACACATAGTGAGCATTAATCCTGCAGGTGTAAAACTTCATTTGATCACATATAAATCAGTCAAGGATTCTGGCCACAAAAAAAAAATCATTTTACTCTCAACTTCTTTTCGCAAATCAAGGAAGGATTGCCAGCATCTGTTGTGAGATCATTCTAAAGTTTGTAGAAAGATATAGGGGAAAATATTTTTTGATATTTCAATTTAATTTACATTATTTGACATTTCGCTTTTTTTTCCCCTTGATTTTATTCTGTTTTAGTTTAATCCTTGACTCTATTTTAAATTTCACTTTGTTTCTCCCATAACTAAAAAGAAATGATATTTCATTATGTTCTAATTTAATTTGTGTAAATTTTACTTTTTTCACCTACGATTAATGAAAGAATACTATCAATCTTCACCACCACCAGATATAATTTGGGTCACGGTCTATGTCTGCGGATAGTATATGCAAACGTGATCAGGACAATACCATCTGTGGAGGATAAAAGAGAGGGGCATCAAAACAAGCAGGCCAAAAGAGCTGCAAAAGATTTTTTTTTTTTTAAACCCCGTTAAGCATATCAGCATGTTAAAAAAGAAGGAAACAGAAAGTAAAGGGACTAAATTAGAACAAAATTAAGCATAATCGATAAATGAAGATAAAATTTAAGATGAATTTACTGAGCAAATTAAAATAAAAAGAAATTAAAAGGAGAAAGTGAAAATTAATATAAAAGTGAATTTTTGCTTAGATCTAATTGCAGAAAAAGAAACCATTCTAGGCCATTAGCCCTGCAGGTCTGAAGCCCTGCAGAATAAGTAAGCATCAGAAAAGAAGAAATGGAATGCAAGAAAAAGGTTTGTGAAGCTCGTCACATTTCTATTTCTGCTCAGTTCCTCTCTTTTGATATATGTTTGAACATTTGGGTAGGAGTGAATGAGGTAGAAAAAATTGTAAATTTTCATTACAATTTCTTCACTTCCTTGTAAGTTTTGAGTTACCAAGTGTACATAAGACACTCTAAGACCTCAACCTAGACAATAATGCAGAAATGAACTCTGAGAGACAATAATGGGAAGACTGGACGTATGGGTCCGTGAAGATCAGTCCTCCATTTGTAATGGTAAGTATAACATCTTATTTTGTTGTTATCTTACATGCAAGAACAGAGGAAAGGGGGAAACGAAGCCCTCAACCATATAGAAGTACTTAGAAAGAGGAGGAGATGAAACAATAATCCAGGTTTAATAATAAAGCAACAATTAACAATGAAATAATGTCAACTCTACTTGAAGTATTTCTTTTTAATCACTAGATATTACTGTCAAAATAATGCAATTACCCTAATCCCTAATCTTAAGGAAGTAACATACTGGCAACACTCAGAATATGTTGCTTCAAGTGAAGAAGACCGTTAATTTCTGGGATTTCAGAAGTAGCAGCTAATATGGCTCTCATCACTTAATAGTCTGACACTTAAAGAGCCCAGCTTAACACTAATGGCAAGAAAGTCTATAATCAGCTTTAACATGGGAGAAAAGGATGAAGAAGTAGAAAAATATGAAATGAAAAACGTCAGAGAAAATTACTGATATGACATTACAATCATAGAGATTAATTTACTAACATGGCCGAATCTATTTACAGGCTACAGATGCTTCAAGAAGAATCTAGGCCCCAAGAGACTCATAACACCACTAAGTTTCTCTTCTGTTTCCTTCATTCTTGTCACAGATCCTGGAAGGCACAGCAAAACGAGCTGAGAAAGAGCGAGATATATTGTCGGGTTCGCTGGAATAGTAATCATCGAAGTTGTGTGAGTAGGAATCAGGATCATATTGGACACGAACTGAAGAAGAACAGCTGAAAAATCTCTTCTTTTTCCTTAAGATCTTCCTCCACAGTGATTTCCACCTTGACATGTTCAACCTACTCATAATCTCACTGACAAATAGAGAGTGATTTCTACCAAGTCTCATATGGTTTGGATGCTCGTTGCCATTTCTGGCGTTTAAACAGTTGCGGTTCTGAAGGTTCATGGTATATAGAACATACAAGGAAGAAACATAAATGGTTTAGGAACCAAGGTGTTTTAAGTGCATGCACTTTACTATTTATAGGGTGAGCCCCACCACCGAAATTAAAGCAAGCTAATCATAAAAATATGTTTGATTATTTAGTTTTGCCGTAGATTCGTCTGTTTAAGAATTTTTCCCTTAGAAGAGGATGCAGATGAAGACAGGTTTATCGAAATAAACAAAGAACCAAGCTTAATTGGTTGCGTGGAGTACTAAGAAGTTTCTGTTTTGAAATTTTCTTCGGGTATCAGAAACGGAATTGAAATTTATATGACTTTTTTGAGATTGGTCTGTGGCATTAAAATTTGAGTCACGAGGGACATGGGGCCTTGTTTGGCGCAGGGAAGTTACTGGGGGGAAAGAATGCGGATAAATCCTGGAATTGTATAACGTTGTTTAAAATACAAGGAAATTTCTGGTTTCAAAATGATTTGTCCTATGCATCTGATGTGCCAAGATGCTGTTAGCACAGTTGTATGAAGTTTCATTATAAAGAAGTCCATTTTTTTTCAGTGAAGAAAAGTGCCATTTTGCATTTTCGGGCTTTTGGGAAGCCAAAAACAAAAGAGAATCCTTGAATCAAGCATTAATTTAGGGTTAATGGCATCTTATCGGCTAGCTTGTTGAAGCCAATCGGCCGCAGAACACCAGTTAAAAAGCTGAAGAACTGTTTCGTCGGTTCTTTTCTTTTATTCTTTCCTGTCTCAATTGGTGTTTTATTTAGCTCAAGGGATTTGATTTGGCAGTTAAACTTTTCTCTGGCTAATAAATTTGCTATGGGAAGAGTAAAAGAGGAAGACAGTTGAACTTTTCTCTAGCTAATAAAAAAGCACAAGACATCGTAGGAGGACATTCACGAACAAATTTTCAAGAACAAGGCCGTCTCTTAAGGTAAAAATAACACACCTCATACTCCATACGATTATATATTATAATGCTCCTTAAGTCTTAAATATAAAACTCATTTTATAATATTAATTGCATTACAAAATAGGTTTTATATTTAGAATCGGAGGAGTACATGTTTTTCGTAGCCACCTAGCTTACACGCGTGCACGCGCACATGTATATACACACATATATATATATGTGTATATAACTCTCACCAATGGATGCGATGTCCAAGTCAGAGTTTCACATGTTTAATAGTGAAGTAATTAGACTGCCGTTTTTAGGGCCCACAAAAACGGAAGTTAAATGAACATTCTCGGCCTCGTTCTTCAAGTTGAGTTTCTCAGTATTGTCTTTGATTCATGGTCGATTTCATCATTCATTTCCTTTCGTCACTCTCTGTTTCAATAGATTAGTTAATACTCCTCCGGTTCTCAATATCGGACTCAATTGTTGAGTTGGTTTTGATTCTAAATATAAGACCTATTTCTTATATGTATCAATTTTCTCTAAATTACCTTTATGGATACTCCCTCAACCATAATCAAGTAGAAAAGAGAGGGGTATTAAGAAAGATGACTATGGTGTTTTAGGACAAACATGTCATATTTTTTATAATTAACTAACTTACCTAACTTTTTTAATCTAATCAAATTAATTAAAATATTAAGGACAGGAAGAGTATTAAAAACAAACTAAAGACAAGTCTCTCTTACGTAACCATGTTTTCTGCAGTGGTAAATTGAGAAGATGGATTATTCTAATTACTTGCACCCTTTTCTTCGGCCTGCTGCATGTTCAACTAATCAAGATGGTCTACACGCACTATTTTACAAATATATAACAAAAAGCCTAGACTATAAAGTACTACTAAGAGCTATTTGACTAATTTGAAAAAATTTAAAAAAAAAGTTAAGTTAGTTATTTGTAATAAATAGGTGTTGTCTTTCCTAAAATATCCTTACTAATCAAATGTATTGGCTAGAACTATTATTATTAGAAAGATTTATTTTGAAAAAAATATAAGAGACAAAGTGGATTGAGGTCTTATATTTAAGACCAAAATAAAAGTTAAATAAAGTCTTATATTAAGGACCGGAGGTAGTATTTCCAATTTTAAAAAAAAAGATATAGTACTAAAATCCATTGAACTTCTTACACATTTTCAATTGTATGAAAATTACATCCAATTTCTTTAACATGGACTGAACATTTCGGGGCCCATCCCAATCATATAATAGGCAGTATATAAAACAGAAAAGAATGTTATGTATATTAAAGAAAAAAGAAAAAAAAACCAATACTCATGGTGAGCTCTGGTCTGTATTTAGGTTCTGTGACACACGCCGTAGCTCGCTGTACATTTTGGAACATTGAAGAGCAAAATCTGACATATTCCTGAAGAGCTCTGGCAAACGATTTTTGAGAGTGACTAAGGACTTCTGCCTCACGTGATCGCATTGCCTTGCATATGCTTCTTCTTCATCTTCTAATCTCTTCTTCACTTGTTCAACCACAAATTGCTTTTCCGTAACAACTTCATCAATAGCATTATTGCCTTGTGGCCTGTCTGGATCAGGCTCCTCTGGTATTTTCCTTTCCATATACTTGCGATACCAGTCTTCGAAATGCCTCTTTTTTCGGTTAAGCTCCTTTTGTGTTTCCTCACATTTTTGCTTCAAATGCATCTCTTCTGCTTGTAGATGAAAAATAGTATCTATCAAAGCAGCAAAGTTGGATATGGCTGTTCTAGCGACTTCGTCAGGTAGTTTTTCCAGAGAATCCTGCCACGCAAGAAGGAGTCTGTGTATGGGGGGCTTCTGAACTCTTGGAGGGGATGAAACCTTTTCCTTCAGATTGCTCTCAATATGGACAAGATTTAATTTTAACCAATTGTTCAGGGCCCTTATGTACCTCCTTTGATTGCTCATTAGCTTCTCAAATTGTGAATGCCACTCTTGCACAACAACCAATAGTTGGTATGTTCGATCATGATGGTGTTCAGTTGTCATCTTAGGTGACTGGGAATCGTCCAGAGATGCCAATGCGAGTGCAATGTTAGACTGGTTCTCATGATGCGCACGCATAATTCCCCACATGGTGGCCATCCTGCAAATCACCAACATCCATCAATATCTACAGAAAGTATTTCTACTCTGCTCATAAATTTGAGCGCTTCAACTAATCTGGGTTTAGGTACAAATAGGACCCTTAAACAACCCAATAAATAAAATTCTCAAAAAACAAAAAAAAAAGCAACCCTCGCAATTCTAAATGAATTTATGCCTACTGGTTCAGTTCAACACAAAGTCCACCTCTGTTACTACTAGTAACAATATGAAGCACAACTCTACCAGTAAATTTATTGTATAGTTAACTGATGAAATAATATCTTAAACTAATTGATATTCTGTAGCTCACCCATCTACTAGCTGTACGAGTCTTGGGTACAACTGTTCATCACGTAAGCGGCTAATTTCAGAGACTGTTGAGTCCAGGGATTGCATATCTACAATATATCTTGTATGCAAATGGCTGACGGCTGCTTTTGCTCTCTCTAGTGCATCAGAGCTTTTACCTCTTTTCTTTAGCTTGTTAAGCGAGGCAACCTTTCTTTGGTATTCAAATTTCATCAGTTCACCTGTCTAGAAACAATATTAAGCAGCAAATTTCAGAATAGGAGAGGGAATATGTTTGACAGCATTATAAACCCAGAACCTTGCAGATAGATAAACGGGTACAGAAAAGGAAAGGAGAAGCATACTGGAGAACAAAAACTTTCCGAAGCAAGGAGAAATAATGACTGAATTGTTAGAACAATGTCACACTTTGTAAAATGTTCTGTAATCTCTGCCAACTAAATGCAGGGCTAGAACCTAAAGCTGATGATGTGAGACAGATGTTCCGGACACGGACCTTCAAGCTATATGACTGTATATATAAGAAAATTACTTGACTTAAAAAGAAGATAGAAGGTGAACCCCTATGACATAGAACTTTACTATTACAATAGACTGCAGCTTACCTTTACTTCATCATAAAGTTTCTTTTCCCATGCAAGCAACTTGTCCAAAACAGTAGCATGAGTCTCATGCCCCTCTGAGTCAAAATCATCCTTCCCATCCTCCATGTTAGGCATTCCTCTAAAGGATCTATTCCATGTAATAACTCGCATCAACCTCGCAGAATGGTCAATGTGTCCTGCCAAAGGTAAGGACTTGAGCATGATCATAATCCATTTTCAAGGACAAATAGGCCAAAAAGAACACACAAGTAAATCGATACAAACATCATTTAATTTATCACAGGTTCGATCGGCTTTGTTTTACTTTGATATGCAGTGTTCGGCGTTCCCACCAGTAAATATTTACTCTTCATTATTTTTAAGGAAATACTTGACCTCATTGTCCCCTGTTGTGCATTCATTCTCGTCAATTCATGTTAAAACAATCCTTTTTTAATACAGCCTCGTGATTTTATTGCCAAGTTTTGTGCATTTCAAACCGAAAAACACTCAAAAAGAGTTTTCTGTTCAGAATTGAAGAAATCCAGGACGTTACCTCTATTATCAGCGAAATTGGAGTGATAGTGCATCCGCGTTGCCTCGAGCATCTTTGAAACTTCATGAGCACTCTCCGAAGCCTTCAGAAAATGGTCATCAAGCTCATTAAATATTTGTATCAGATTCACTTTTGGGTTCGCAATATTCCCCTCCACAATCGAAACCTGTCCCTGCTTCACCTTCTTCGAACTCTTCCCATTCTGTGACAACATCATAGCCTGCTGCTGCGGCGCCGGTGGCGGCTCCGGCACATTCTCCGGCGTAGGTACAGGTTCCGGCACCTCATCATTTCTGCCTCTCACAATATTGGGCTTCTCGTTAAACTCCTTTCTCTCAATTTCCTCTTTATTGATGTTAACTTCTTCGTCTGCGGTGCTCAAGCTCGGTCCTGGCGTGTTCTCCATCGGCGGAAAGAAGTATTCAAAAGCAGGATGCGGCGCAGGCATAGGATGATTTGTCTCAAATTGAGTCGCTGGTTTTGATTTTGATAGGGGAGGAGGAGCAGGAGGCCGAGCCTCTTCTTCTTCTTCTCCTACCATTTCCTTAGTCCCACCTCTACTGCTCCCCCCACTATTTCTCTTACTTCTCCTTCTCCTCAATCTATTATTCAAAGCACCATCGTTCTCCAATTCTTTGTCCTCCTCCTCCTCCTCGATTATGGTCCCGACCGGTTCCATTTGGGGTTTCGCCATCATCTCGGGCATAGTCGCAGAACGATGAAGAGGAGCAGGGGGGATATTGTGAGGAGGCGGAGGCGGCGGAGGGATTTCGAAGGATGGTTGCATCGGGAGGGAGGGATTAGGGACAGTCGTCGGGCCGAATTGAGGGTTTTGAACCTCGCCCTCAGAGAAGTCGCTCAGGGCAGCGCCGGTGTTCTTGAGGTAGGTGGCGTAGGAGGAGTGTGCGGCAGCGAAGGCATTTCGCGCCGAGACGGCCTCTTTCATCAAGTGCTTGCGTTCTTTGCATCGAGCCACAGCTTCTTCGTTCTCTATCTTCGATTGCGTACAACCCATGGTGATCGGATAATGAATCTGGGGGATGGATGTTTCACTGAATTGGAAGCAAAACTGATCATGAAGAAGTATATAGACTCTGAGACACAGTTGGAGTTTTCCGAGAAAGAATCTGACTTTTCGAGAAGAGAGGGAACGAACGAAAAAGTGGGAATGAGTACGCAAAGAGTGATGATGACGCCGAGGTGAGAAACTTAAGGCAAAATAAAGACAACGTTTCATCCGGGGTAAGAAAGTCAAAGTAAAACCTTGAGAATATAAATTTTTTTTATAATGTCAGATTACATATTGAGAAAATGACAAAAAGAGACTACCGAAATAAAAAATTACACACAAGACTAGTTATTATCATGAGTTTTTATTTGTAATTTTTTTATTTTAGTGCTTTTTTTTTGTCATTTATTCTTACATATTTGTCTATAAATTAGATATATTAATTTAGAAAAAAAATAATTATGAAAGATTATAATTTATTAGTAATTAAATTTTTCTATTTGGAACTTCTTTATAATTTTTCTAAAAGTAGTTTACCTCAATGCCCCATCTAATCTAAATGTATAAAGTAGCTTAGTAAAATGGTTTTATTGACACCAATCTTCTTTGGGCGGTGGTGTATTTTTTTCCTTCCAAAACTGCCCATGCTAATTGCATGCAACACAGTTAATAGGAGTAGTTTCGTAATTTGATTAATTTTATTGGATAAAAGAAAAGCATAGAGAATAAAGTCGTCTGATGTGTACGCGGGGTCGGCAGCAGCGTGAGGAGTGAGAAGTGGGAACTTAGAAGATGCGCTTCACTTTACGGGTTAAACTTAAACCAAAGGGAAGAAGAAACTAGAGAGGGACCCACAAACACACGTCGGAGGCAATAGCTTATAAAGTTGATAACTGAAGAAGAAACTTCTGCTCTGCCATTCTGTTATAACGCGGGTGTTTTGATTGGATCTGCATATGTGCTTTTTCAGGGGTCCCCCCATTCGCTATTAATTAATTTAAAAATAGTTTTAAAAAAAAAAAAACAAAAAACAAGGAGGCTGAAGAATTTTCCTCATCACTTTTCACTCTCATCCTTTACTTTCTTCTGTTTCCATACTTGGCCTTGAAGGAACCAACGAATGGAGGAAAATGGAAATCACACCAGCCTGTATCATTTGCAATAATACACAACTACCTCTAGGTCTTAGTATAAAATTTAATTAATTAATTTAAATATATTAATAAAATTTATCAAGTTAATTATTTATAATAATAGGAATTATATTTCTTATAATAACCTTATTAATCCTGTGTGAAACCTTTAATATATACAATTATTGCAAAGATTATTTTGAAAAAAATAAATATAAAAATAAAGTATATTAGA